CTAAAATTAAATTTTTTTAGAGTCTAATTAAAAAGTTTGCCATTTAGGTAAAACCTTGCAGAATTTTTCTAATTTTTGTACAAAGTTTGATCCAAACCCAGAGATCTAGTACCACAATTTTTTGAAATCTATCACATTTTTTCCCAGATTCTACCACACAGAATTTTTTTTGAAGTCCCATCACTGGTATGTACACACATAAATACATAGTATGTACTTATATACATACATATGTACATACATACATATATGAATTTCACAGAGCTTTACGTTATCACTTAGAAATGTAGAAATGAAAAATAATTGCGCGAAACGCGATAAAAACACCTAAACAAAACAAATAAGTAAAAATTGTATAAGTAACGAATGAGGAAAAATAAATAGAATGAAATTATAAGTATACATAAATATATTCGCACGTCGTTGAATTCATGTACATACCCTGTTGGTAAAATCTCTAATTCTGAACTAGTGCGCTTCTAGTACATTTAGAGCCACTACTGGTTCGCGATAAATCTCTTTTGCATGCAAGCAACTGGCGAATTTAACTCGGCGATGCACTAGGAAGTGGAAATTGTCCCCCGCGGCATCCCTTTTTGTATAGTTCCGAACCAGTTGTAAATTCGTCAACTAAGATATCAAAGTAATTTGCTTTTTTTTTAAGTGGACTTTTAGCTAGCGAAATGTACAGTTGTTCACAAAATAATAGGAGTGGGATATTTTAACCACTTTTGGCTATTTTTCTTTTGTTTTTTTTTTAATGTTTATTTTTCTATAAAATTTCTACCCAAATTTCAAATTTTTTAATCAGAATCTTTTGGTAGCAGTTTTGTAGCCCATTTAATTCTAGTGCAATGAAGTGTAAGTTTCATGCTGCTGAAAAATTCCTTTGATTTTTGGCACTTTTTTCTGGCAGTGTCCTCCATATAAAAGAAAATTGTCGAATGGATTTTGTTTGAAAAAAACGTGAAACGACTTCAGCCAAAAAATATCTAAAAAATCAATGGGATTTTTAAAAACTTAAAGCTTTCACTTTATATATGGGCTATAAAATTGCATACCACAGTTTTTTCTAAAGTTTGAAATTTGGGTAAAAATTTGCAATTTTTTTTTTAATTTTTGTACAAAGTTTGACTTTTATAAAAGAATAATAAACAATAAATAAACAAAAGACAAGTAGTCGAAACTGTTAAAAATATCGCACTCCTATTATTTTTTTGGACAACTGCAGTTTTACCAAGTAAAATAAAAAAGTCTTTTAAAAATATCACATGTCACTGCTTTTGAACTGGTGGAGATCTAGTTACTATCGCAGTGGTTCGTTTTTGGCGATAAAGATCTAGTACGGAACTAGAAATTGAGTTCACTAGTTCCGGGTTTCCCAGCAGCGAAGAGTGTATATATGTATGTATAAATGTATATGTGAGAATCAGTGTGAGTGTATAAAGTAGGTTTGAAAAGATATTCAATTAAACCGACACACAGTACGAAGAAGAGACAGACAACGCGATAAACACAAAGGCACTCCGCCGTCAGTAGCACAAACAAGCCAACACATCGCAACCAATTAGCGGGAGCTAGTAACTTTTCTGTGCCGCGAAGTGAAGTGAAAAACTGAAGACATTTATTCAATTTAATGTAATTTTTGTAATTTATGAAAGCGAAATGATTTCTAATGCGGGATAATGAGGCGAAAAACAATTTAAGTTCGGTCGATGCGCCCCGAAACCCCGCGATAACTTTTTGAACATCAATACAATCATATATAATATATATATACAAGTGTACTAACATAAATGAAATTGGTAAGAAGAACGAAAAAATACCAATAAAATGTCCGCAACAGCGGGATTATTAGTGGCCGCCATCTCCAAAATCTCTCCAACGCGAGACGCCACTTTGCCGACGCCACAGCAGAAACGTTCCAGCATCATCACTTCTGATCCTAGCAGAGCACAGGTGAACGGCATCACAGAGCTCAGCTGTCGTATCAGTCGCAGCAGCTCTCAACAGAATCTCGAAACAGATAGTGGAAAGAGTTCGTGTAGCCCTGGGTTACTCGACTACAGCTACGAAAACGGTACAGGTGAGGGCGATAACGGTGCTGCTCATAGCGGCGCTAACACAAGAGGCGGATTAGCTGAAGGCACTTTGAGAGAGAAGCGATTGTGTGCAACGAATTCTAACAGTGAAGCCGCCGCTTCCGACAGCATGAGTACCATTAGCTCCATTGGTATCGGCACTGGAATTAGTTGCAACGCAGAAGAAGAAATGCGTCAAAAACTGCGATTCGATCGCCTGCACAAATTCCGCCTGATTCTGCTATCATTAGATCGACAGAGAGATCCACATCGACTGTTGCGAGAGCGTCTCAGGTGAGTAAAATTTTCTCTTAATTGATATTTTCGTATTTTTACATATCGTCACTTGAAATGCAAAAGGCCGGAAGTAACAATAATTTTGTTTGTGCATAAAACTATGTGGAATGCAGATCGATGAAATGCACAACAATCAATCAAGTGAATTTTGGATTTTTTGCTAGCTACGACCTTTTGCATTTCAGGTGACGATATGTACCAATGGATGGATGTACATGTGCACACATGTATGTATATATGTATGCAGGTAGCTTATACCTACGGTGACCATCCGTCCTGCATTATACGGGACAGTCCTCTTTTTTGACCCATTGTTCTGGTAATTTATTTATTTTATGTATACGGGATGCCAAATGTTCTGTATTTCTTTTAATGTCCTATATTTGTTCCGTATTCGGTGTTCCGACGCCTTAAGAGCTAATTAAAATGGCATACCTATGGACGAGTTTTAAGTGATGTTGGTATATGATAGTAATTTTCTTTATCGAATCCTCGAATCGAGGAATACATACAGAGGCCAAAATAGAAACTAGGACTCGTCAGTTTAGTAAGTTTTGGCTATTTTTTCTTAGATTATTTAAAGTTTATTATTTTTTTTTATGAAAGTAAAGTTCTTTTCCTAAAAAATCATATAATACCAAATTTCTAACTTTATGCAAAAAACTATAAAAATTAATTCTGCAATGTTTCGCCGAAATTTCAAACTTTTCAACAAGAAAAAAATTTGGTTTGCAGTTTTGTAACTCATTAAAATTTAGTATAATAAAGGCGAGTGGAAAGTGCCGCGCATTTGCTTCTCTTTCAAAAAAAGGTCGAACATACTTTGTATGAAAAAAATGCGTAACACCGTCAACAAACAAAAATTGCCATAATTGCACTTTATTATACTAAAATTTAACGAACTTTTTTAACAAATTTTACGGGGTAAAAATCTCGAGAAAATTACCCTACAAATTTGTGATTTTACTATTTATAAGGATACTGTTTCAGGGAAAACAGTGTGGAAAAAATTTCAAAAATTATTTTTTGTCCCGTATTCGGCTCTCATAAATATGGTTACCGTACTTACGCCACATAAAACACATCTATAGATATTTCAGAGCCGTATTTTTTAGTCCTAAAAATATTAATAAATATGGGTAAACTAAATGGTTCCATTTGAAAAGACAATCTTAACTAATAGCAAAATATTAATTTAGTTTTGTAAAAAGAGTGGAGTACTGACCTTACATTTTATTGGCATGTTTTCATACAAATAGACGAATATTAACAGGAAATATGACTGCTTTTTTCTTACCACGAAACTATGTAAAACAGGTGTATAAAAAATTTAAAAATTTAAAATGTGAACTATGTAAATACATATCGTCGCCCTTATGCCAGAAATATGAATGTGCAAATTTACCAATTTTAATTATTGGATTGACTTGATTAACCCTTAGATGTTCTATGTTAAACCCATACCCAGAATACCAGTCGTACACGAAAACCACAGATTTCACAATGTCAATTATATGAATGCAGAGTTAAGTCTCGTAAACAAAAACTTTAAAACTTGATTTCCCAAAATTTGCATCTCTACAAATTCATGTTTCTGGAATGCGGGAGACGATATGTACGTGCCGATTTGTTTTACAGAAATTATTTAAAAAACAGAAGCCTCGATCCCTCAGAAAACCGGTTAATCGTTTCGGCAATTATTTCACATTTGGCACGTTCAGAAGGAGCAATAGCTCAGTAACTGTTGCGATTGCACCTTCTGAACGCTTTGTTGTGGACTTCTGATCAACTGAACAGTTGCGCGTTAGATGATCGTAATATTTTTCTGATTATTTGAGACAACATGTTGGTTGAATTTGACAGCTAATGTATCAAGCCGTTCAGAAGACGCATAACGATCATTGATTTGATAGCAATTGTTGCCTTTCGATGTATACTTAAGATGTATAAACCTAAAGGTAAATTTTATAAGAAATTAGCTAAAAAATTGATTAAAGCTAGTAACCCCCGAAATTCGGGGAATCCAATATGAATATACGATGCCGTGCAATAAAGTCATAGGAAATAACGCCATATGGCTTTATTTCTCTTAACATGAAGAAATAA